AAGGGGAAAAATATACTTGAGGGTGCCCCTTGGCGACTTATGTTTGGCGCCATACTTGTTTGCCCGGAACGCCGTGGTAACCCACAAACAGGACATTTATATCTATTACTAATTAAACCTTCATTCATACACCAGTCAATCACTGCTTTTTTCCCATTGTTATTCAAATCGTACAGAAACTTAAGATTTATCTTATTGACAGTATTCATTTTTAGTACCAGAAGCAAAAATAACCTTACCAGCAGGTATCCAAAGTAGAACTAACGGATCTCAGAAATTACATTTAAAAATTCATTTAAAAACAACGCTAAATTCTAAACTAATCAGAATCACGATTCAAATCTAAACCAATCAGAATCTTGATTGGTTTTCAACATCGCCCAGCTTGGCGATCAATCGCGATCACAACTTGGCGGGGGCACCCTCAAGTATAGTCTACCCAAAAACTATCTTAACATCCAACAGAGAATTACATTATTCTAATAATAATGATACTGAAAACAATCCTCCTAAACTCTTTATTTAGAAATCAAAAATGTTTATCAATTTTATGCTGATGACAACCAAACCAAATGAAATTTAATGATGGAAAACTGGATCCTACCATATGATTTTCCAGCCAATAAAAACGTATTACAACAATGGAAAACTGTGACATCATCATTAGATTTTTATATTTAGTAAGATAAGATACACATTGGGGTTTTATATATAGATGATACAAGGTGATTGCAGGAGGAAAGTTGGATGCATTTATTTTCAAGTGGTTAACACCAACTATTTAATTACTACTGATATATTGATTATACTTCTAAATATATTAAGTTATAATTGTAGTAAGCCCCCCCAAAAAATTTATACATTTATAAATTACAGGGCAAATTTAATGATGTCCACTGGGCACAAAGTGACTAGAAAGCCATTAAAAAATTGTCAGTCGCCACCCGATTGGCACTTTCTTTTGTTGAAAATGCAGCCCACATACATCTTATGATTAATATTTTTTTTAACGTGAATAATTATAAATCTAAATGGTGAAATTTCTCAGCTAAAAAAGTAATCTAAAAATTACTTCGTTAGATTTTGCACCTTTTTAGAAATGAACTTTATAAATGTTCTACAGATTTTGCACCTTTTTAGAAATGAACTTCAGAAAGAATACCTTTGATGATGTTCTAGAGTCTTGAGGGGAGATGTAGCAAATCTTAGATCCCAGAGCTGAATGACAGGACTGTGATCATCTTCGGAAGCAAGACAGAGTTGAGTTGCAACTTCAGGATGCCACGCAACAACTTTACACCTCAGCTACAATCATTAAATAACAAATCATTAAATAAAATAATCTCTTAAGCAATAATCTTTATTGATTATAATGTTTTTTACCCTTGATGATGAGTCTGAAACTTTTATGATGGGTTCATTTTTTCTCAAATCCCAAACTATACAGCGAGCAGGAAAGGTAGATGCCAAGATGTGCTGCACTTGACAATTCCAAGAGACACACGTAACATCTTCAGGGGGCTAAGAGATAAGAATGTTTTGTTATTTTTTTAGCTTGACAGTAGCATAGCTGCCAACATGAATAGGAACAACTTCAGTAGATTTTAAAAATAACAGAATGTTATAATAATTGTTGCATAATGTACTAATTATTTTACACATGTACTAAATATTATACATTTCTAGGGATTTTTATAGTAATATTTTCCAGTTATGATTGACATTAAACATACTTGAAATGTTATGTATCATGTTTACTCACAATTTCAATTATTAATAGGCATTTAATTCCTCAAAGATAATTAAAAGATTTTTTTTTAATTAACTTAAAAAGAGTTCTGAATAAAAATAAACTGAACATTTTAGAAGAAAAAAAAGTTTTGAACTGATTTCTATAAATCAGGTTCGCTTCATTATGTTATTAGTAATACTTATTTAAATATTCTAGCAAGCAAACAATAATCTGCACAAAAATTCTACTTCAATAGGGATTTTTTTAGGTAATTTATTCAATTTTAGGGAATTTTCTAAAATATACAAAAACCAGGAGAATTTAAGTTAAACCAGTAGACCAAGAGAAACTAGCAAAATCCAGTAGTCTACTGGAAAATCCAGTAGAATTGGCAGCTATGCAGTAGCAATAGGAACAAAAGTTATAGAGTAAGCACAGTAAAATTTGATCTGTAAAGGAATTCTGAGAAAAGACTTTGCTTAGAAGACAAAATTACCATGCATAAAGGTCATTGAAATTAATATCAATTCATGCTAGTTTTTCACTCAAGACATTAAATTTCACAGAACATGGACAGAAAAAAATCCAGTAGATTTTACGAAATAATATAAATTTCATGATAACTGCCGCACAATGTATTAAATATTATATGCGCATGGAATTTTATAGCAGAAAAATGTTAATATTTTCCAGTTATGATTGACATTAAATAAACTTGAAATGTTATTTATTATGTTTACTCATAATTAAGAAAAGTAATAGGCATAATTCCTCAAAGACAGGTAAAAAAGTTTATTTAATTAATTTAAATAAAGGGAGTTCTGAATAAAAATAAACTTAACATTTTAGAACAAAAACAAAAAGAAGCTTTAAACTGATTTCTATAAATCAGTAACACTTATTTAAATATTCAAGCAAGCAAGAATCTACGCAAACATTCTATTTCAATAGGGATTCTTTTAAAAACAATGAACACAATTTTAGAGAATTTTCTAAAATTTACAAAAACCAGGAGAATTTTTACTAAACCAGTAGACTGGGAGGAAGATAAAATCCAGTAGTCTACTGGAAAATCCAGCAGAGTTGGCGGCAGCTATGAAATTTTAATACACAACAGAGACGTAAGTTTGCAAAAATTCAAAAGGCAGAAATTTATAAAATTTAAAAAGAGGCTAAGCATAAGTTTGTAATAAAAATTTTAAAAAATCAATGCAAATCGTTAAATGCTAAAGTAAAAATTTTTTTTTTGTGAAAATTGGACTTAAGTGACCTAACATCTAAAGCCTTACCACCAAAGAACAGATTTTGCAGGAAATAAAAAAGAAAATTTATTTGTTTGGCTTTAAATAGGGATCAGAGCCACTATAAATTTCAATAGAACTCAGTGTATAAGATTTAAATCTTTTTGATGTCATAATTTTATTTTTTCGAACAATTAGAAAACAAAACAAAAACATTTTTAAAAAAAGTTGGAATTAAGTGCCTTTTAATTTGTCAGGGTAGAGAAAATATAAATATAAAAAGCTTATGACAATAGCTTGAATAAAATTATAACAAATAATCTCAATTTAACTTCTTCATCATTAGAAAACAAAAAGTGAATTGTCCTTCAATATAATTGTATAAAAAATAAAATCCAGACTTAAGGTTACTTTAACACACTCAATAGTCTTGTAAAAAAATTATGATTTTATACTTTAAGAAAGAAAAAAATATTTTTCTATAAAAAAAAAGAATGAAAAATCTCGTTTTTCTGTTCTTAAAATTTGTTATTTTTTATTCTGTTCTTGCCCTAAATCACTTAACTTGGTTTCTCTTTTTGAACAATGATATTTGACACCAATGCAAGGCCATTAGCAAGTTTTGGTGATTTCATTACAGTTTAATAAATTCTATAATTAAATATGCATGCTCTGTATAAAAACCTTCAACATGAATAAAATCAGACTTTAATACAAATCTCAGCCTGAAGAATAAGTTTATAAATGATCCTAAATAAAAAATATATTTTTTACTTAAATTTATTTTTCAACATTAAGTCATTTAAATCATTATACCGACCGGGTATTTAATAGAGCCAAAAGTGAGTCACTGTTTTGTAATGTCAAAAATTTATATTGTATTAATTATATTTATTTTGTGACATTAAAAAAAAAATAGGTGTTAAGAAGTTTGCGATTTTGAAAACATAACTACATACAGTTATAGAATATAAATTACAATGAGCATGAATAATTTAATTGTGATAACTTTTATAAGATTCTATCGGGTGACAGTATTGCATGCGATTGTTTTTCCTAGTAGGTACGTTTTGACAATGATAAAAAAGTTAAGTCATGCAACTTTGCTTTCATGTAATAGAACGAAAACACAGAACCTACATTTATTGATTTTTATGCATAGTTGGGAACAATTCCAAAAGCAGAAAAAAAATGATGTAAAAGTTTTTGTAAATACTATTAGAGAGAAGATCTAACAGTATTGAACCAAATTAGAAGCAATGGATTCTTTTTTCTTCTTCTTGATCCTCATTTCTCTCGATTAGGATCCAATTTTATAATTCATTTATTAAAAACAGTGCTGTTAAGCATACAAGAGTAATTCAGGGTGCGTAGCCAGATCTTTAAACAAAAAATAAGCACCTTTTAAGTACTTTTTAAGCACTAAAAAAATATTTTTAAGCACTATATACATTAACAAAATGCAAAATAATTTTCAAGCACTTCATATGATCATGATAAAATAACTAGTTTCTGACAAAGAACTCTTTTCCTGATTATATCAGCCAACATAAAAAGATGGAGAGATTTTTCAGTTCGATTTCTGAGGGTGTAAAATGAAGCCTGATATTGAGAATATGTTGCAAAATGCAGCAGAGTTACATGTGAGAGTGCTAGAATCTCACTGAACTCCGCACAGTAGATGCACATGCGTATCCGCAAGTATTTTATTAAGCATGTGATATGATTAACGCTTTCATACACTACAGACCGACAGTACCCCGAAAAGCATTGCGGTTGCATGAATTGTAACAGCATTAAATAGGACAATGTGAAAACCGCACTTTTGCATAATATGAAGTGAAAATCTACATGGTAAAGAAAAAAAATCTCATTTTCGAAAAGGAAAAACTAAGCACTTTTTAAAAACATCCCATGAAAAAAGCACCTTTAAGGGATTTTTAAAATCGAAAATAAGCACTTATAAGTATGTAGTGTTTCTACCACTACAAAAATATAATTCCAATACACTAGTATATAAGACACTCGATTCTATGGTGGGGTACCTTTTCATAGATGAAGGTTAACATTGTCGATAACAACTCACTCCCCACAAGCACCTTTTAAAAACGTTATGCACCCTGGTATTTTTAAAAAACAATTGGATTTAGAGGTTGATTAATAGGAAACTTTTTTATCTATATGAATCAATTAGAAAAGAAGAATTTTTGAAACCGTAAAGAAGGTACACAGTTAAAGTGAAATTATAATCTTACAATATTTATAAAAACACCTAATAAAATGCCGATAAAAAAAGAATGGAAATTGTTTTCAGAAGTAATATATAATCTTTCTTTTAACATATTGAATAAGTTTTTTCTACTTTTATAGCAGTTCTTATTAGCTTTCATTTGAAAGAAAAATAATTAGCCTTATTTTATTATTTTCAGCTAATGTATGAACAGAAAAAACAAAATCATAACTATGGTTATAATTTTGAGCTGTATCTAGTCAAAGGACTAGATACAGTTCTAAAAGTGCAAATTTAATTTTTGAACATAAAACCTAATTTAAGATTATTAATGGTAAAACCATTTAAAAAAAAACGTCATTCTTCTTATTGAATATTTTCAGAATAGTCTTTTATAGTTCCCAATTGCCTTCACATACTTTATTAAAAAAGTTTGGGTTTTCATCACACTGAGGTTGATCATTTAGAAATACATAACCGAGAAAATTTGGGTGCCCTAGAGAAAGGCATGAAATTTTTACAAAAATACCTGAGATTTTGCTCCAAGTGTTACAGGTGCAGCAGGATTATTCAAATCCCATATATACACTTCTGATTCGGTAGCACCAGATGCTAATAGGCAGTCCTAGTAAAAATAAAATGGTACATTTGAGAAGAACAGTTAAGCAAAATTAATTAACTTAATACAACAAGAATGTTTTGCAAATTTCAAGTTAACCCGCCGAGTATCACTTCTCTTAAGTGATACATTCTATATTCTTTCACACAGAGTTAAATTCCCCCTCCCCCTATATTTCGTACTTAACAAAAAGACAGGCAGGAGCCATGTAGAACATAAACTAATTATGCATCGAAGTTGCCAGGTACAGAAAACAAAAATATATCACATGTTACAATAAAATACATGAACAAATAATAAATCTAAGAAAGAATTATATTCCACAAATACTGACGCTACGTCATAGGTACCCAACTCATAGGTCTTCTCAGTACCCAATTGACTAAAAAAGTATTACGAATGGAAATTTTTATTGAACAATTTTTTTCATGCAATAAACTAAAATGAGTGTTTTTTTTAATAAGTATATTAAAAAACAGCTTTTTAAACATTTTAAAATCTATACATTGGTTGATCTTAAATCAAGTCGTAAATGTATCAATAGCATTAAGAAATATGAGGAGAAATATTGAACACAGGAATAGTAAATACTTAAGCAGTAGTTAGCATATGCATCCAGTAAAAAATAAAAAATGCAAGCCAATTTATACAAAATACAAAAAAAGATATTTTATACAAAATATTATTATCCCAATAAATTAAATATTTCATAGCAATTTTTGATTGAAAATTTAAATAATGCATTTAAAAGAAAAACACAAATGATTTCATAATAAAAGAAAATTAATGCAGTGACATATCTATAATGCTATAAAGTGCCAAATATGCCAAAGAAACATCCAAGGCGGCAGACAAAAAAGTAATGACGTGTAATTCCCCATTGCAAAAGAAAAAAAAAAAAAAAGAGCAACAGCAGATTTAAGTAAACAAATGAACTTTAAAAAAAAATTAAATCAAAAAATTTTTTTTGTCTAATGCAAGAAACAGAATGACCAAATTTAAATTAGTTACTGTGATTTCAGTTGCGACTGCTATCACTAAAGAATATGAATAGGAGATTTAAATTATTTAAAGTAGGAATTCACTCAACTAAAACTTCAACTTCAAGTTAAAATGGACTTGCAAATATGAATGCTTTGAGTTACAAAGACCCGTAGTTTACAAAGCATAGCAGAATCACTGTCTGATAAGTAATATTTTATTAATTTTTACTGTCTCAAGAATAAAAAAAAGTTCAAACATTTAAAGACATTTAATTCGAACATTATAAAACAAGTAATATAAAAAGAAATTAAAGTCAATTTTTACTTGGATCAACAAAGAAAAATTTTATTTTAGTTACTTTTTATTAAATAATTACAAATTTTTCTCCCACATAAAACTAATATTAATTAATATTTGAAAAAAACTGTATTAACATCAAGTGTCATCCACAACAATTTTAAAAAAATGTTATTTGAACTTGAGTGGATGATTAAAAAGTATTTTATTAACGATTGAAAATTTGAACAAGATAGAGGGAGAGCGTGAACTAATACTAGAAATAGAAAGGGAAAAAAAACATTCACCTTATATTATCAATCTAATACTTTTCAACTAGTAAAAAAAAAAAAAAGAAATAATAATTAATAGGGTTTCTATAAATATAGATAAATGAAATGATTCCTACTTGAAATTTATTAAAATCAAGAGAATGAACCGGTCCAGTGTGTTTTGTATTGTGGTGAATGAGAGCTGATTCACCCAGAATCAATTTGGCTGCATCATAAATCATAATATTGCCATCATCAGCACCACCTACAATCACACCACTGCTCAATTCTGATGTCTTCATGCCTTCACAGCCCCAAACCACTTTATGGAAACTACAAGAATTAAACATCAGAGAAAGGTAACTCAATTTAAAATAAATAAAATGCTACATATGAAGTTTCATTAAAAGCAGGGGTAGAAATTGAGAAAATTTAGTTACTGGTCTGAGGGACCAGCAACTAGAAGATATTACTAGTCTAAGGCTAATTTAAATTTAAAAAAATACAATACAGAGAATATATTTTGTTTACATTTATGATGAATTATATTATTTGTGATGAGAACAGCAAACCAAAAAAAATCTCAAATAGAATATCATTCCTTCATATTGATTGCTGTTAATAATTGTTTTACAACGGTCCGAGTCAATTTTCGTCATCCCAGATCAAAAGACTAGTATAATTTGAAACCCTGCTTTGAATTTTTTTCTTTCTTGTAAGAAGATGGCCACAAATAATTTTAGCAGCTCAATCAACTTTCTTCATTTTTATAATTAATACCATAAGTATAGTAATTAGCTTTTAAAGTAAAGAAGACACCGATTATCCAAAGTGCCCGGGACCTAACGTGGTTCGGATAATGAAAAGCTGTTAAATCTAGTTTAAATTACCATTATTTATGCACTAACTTCCCTTCACACTTTTCATAACTCTTGAGTTCCATGTCATGCTGATTAGTCCATCAACGCAAAGACGTGTGCCATAACACGACGCCGAGTTGTATACTGTGTCATCGACCAGGGTTAGGACTGGCAGTAATATCTAAAATAGCACCGACTTGTTTAAAAGGTTTTCTTCGATTTTTAAATAATTTTTATTTATTAATCTTTTTAAAAAACTTTTCTTTCATTTTAAACTTTTTTTTTAATCATATTTCATCTTTTTAAAATTTTTTTGCCAATTACTGATTTTACATTTTTCTTTATTTTCCATTGCAAAGGAAGTCCAGAAAAGACCTTTGTTTCAAAGAAAATGCTCTTTTTTGAGCAGCCATATCCCTTATTCTTTTTAAATGAATCAACTAAATTAAATATGGTCTTCAGGTGCAGTGGGTATTATTTGTTTTTCTAAATTTAGAAAATTTTTGATAAGTTAAAAAGTATTCATAGGACATAGTTTGGATAATTGGACGTTCGGATAATCGGTGCTCTACTGTACTTTATTTACGTTGCACTAGAGCTGCACAATGGGCTATTGGTGATGATCAGGGAAACGTCCTTGAGGAGGATCCAAAGTCATGCCATCACAATTTTGATCCTCTGCAAAGGGGATGGCCAACTGCAGTAAGGTCAACCAGATGACTAAAATTTTAAACCTAATACTTTTAAGCAATCAAAGTATCATTTTCAAGGTAAAAAACTGGAGATTTAGAAACAACAATATTTAGTTTAATACTACAATTTTTAGGCTGTTAAATGAGGGGCTACGTCATTTGAAATTTTTAAAAAGTTAATTGCTTATAAGAGCAGTTTTCTTTAAAAAATTCACACTAATAATGCAAAACGGAATAAATAATAATTAAAGTAAACTATAATAAAATAGTGTGTAGAAACATTTTACATTTCCATTTACAAAAAAATTCCAAAGATTAGATATTTTACGTTCAACACCAAAATACATATTTAATTGCACTGAGCCAGCAGGAATTAACATTGTTAAATTATTTTTTCTGTTTAAAGCAAGATTCTAAGTGTCTCATTTGAATAGTCTTTTTATTTTGAAAATAGATATTTTTATTGTAAATTAATAATTAATATTTGTATTCAACATCAACAAAACTGTTTTGCAACCTGTATAATGCAGGGGTGATTGCGAGCCCAACTCAAAAATCCTGAAAATTTCTTAAGTAAAATCATTAATGACATTAATTTCAAAAAATTAATGTCTTTGTAAATCTAAGCGATTGATATTTTCAAAGCATGAAATTCTAAATAAATTACATGTAGCATAATTTAAAAAAATAATTATATATAAATTTACTTTTATCTTTAATCACATTTATTATTCGACCAGAAAAAATATTTACAAATGAAAAATATGTCAAGCATTAATTCTAGTTCTAATATTTCTAAATAAAATATACAAGAGTTATTATGCATCAATGTAATTGATGATTTCTTAAAACTTTTGAACCTTGGATTTCTCGTAATTAGCAAAAAATCCGGATTTTTCCTGGAGCACTATCAGGAGTAATAATGCAAAAGCAACATCCAGTTTATGGCAGTCACCCAGAGACTTAATGCAGGGGTGGTCTGTCTGGGTTTTTTGAAAGGTATCCATTTTGTGAAAATTTAGACATAATTTGTGAAAATTAAAAATTATATTAAAAAATCAACACAAAAATATTGTAAAGTAAGAAAATATTTTCAAAAATTGTCACTTCAATTAAAAATCATTTATGACAGGTAAATTTTTGTATATTTTTCCCCACATAAAAAAGATAATTTTGCTATTGTAAAATTGTGGGCTTAAAATTGCATAAAAATCATTGTCCATAGTTAAATTTCAACTTGAATTTAATAAAAACATGGATTTAACAGTACTAGCACTAAAAGTTATTTTCATAATGAAAACATTTTCCACTAGGTCATACAGAAAAAAGTTTCACTAAGAAAAAAAAAATTTCATAAAAAATAAAGGCCTGTTAGAATAAATTTGCAATAGTGTTTAAGATAACATTCGAGTGTTTATAATAATGTTCGAATTTTGACTTTCAGTAAAGTTAACAAAGGGAGACCCTCGTTGTTTCACTTTAAAAAACTTGGCTAAAGAAAAATCTCACTTTGATATGGCGTGAGCGACCGGTTAAATTTAACACATTGCAGTATCTGACCAAACATGTGCTACCTTTTGGTAAAAGATAACTGGCAAAAAGGCTCCTTTTTTCCCTGGATTGCAATGAGAACGGGATTTGCACGAGAACTTGTTTCATAAAAAGTATTATGTGAAACTACCGGTTTTCCAAAAGCTGAATTAGTGAAGCATGGGTGCCACTCTAAGAATATTTCAAGACGGAACATATAAATGAACACAATCTAGTATTATTTACTAGAATTTTTAGACATTTATAGTTCACCGACTCCAGAATGTATCTTTCTATAATAAGAACTTATATATTATAATTATCAAGTTTTTTTTCTTTCATTTTATTAATTTATTTTTTACAGCAAACTAGATAAAAATAACAGCTAACCTTGCACCTCTTTTTACATCAACCACTGAATAATAAACAACTAATTTTTTCTAAGCTATACATATCTCTATTTTTTCACTTCATCATTATTTATTTTTTGTCCTATCTCTAAAATGTCTTCTTTTCTAAAAAAAATAATAATCCCAATTTAACTTGGGTCAGCATGGGGAAAAATAAAAATAAGAAAATTTAGATACAACCATAGTACAAATTTTGTTTAAACAAGCAAGCATTGAAGTTCAATCTCATTTTTTCATTAATGAGCTACATCATTACTTGATCATTTCACAGTAATTATAAAGATGACCAATGTTTACAATAAAATGTAATTTTTATTCAACGAAAATTTTTTAAAACATTTTTAAGGAAATAGATAAATTTTAATATTAAAAACAAATTGAAAAGAGATATTAATTTATGAAACTTCATCTACTGATTTTCTTACAAGACTGATTTCAGTCCCCAGGATAGAAGAGTGGCACCTTTGTAGTGAAGGCACTGTTAAACAGTAGTAAATAGACAGTATCTGCTACATTTTAGATTTTCAAATTCATGACTTTCCATGATTAATTCCAAGAATTTTCCATGACTTAACAAAGTTACTATTTTCTCCGACAAAAACACAATAATAAATTTAAAAAAGCATTACAATAACATTAATTGAAATGATAGGTATAACCAAAACTTTGCATCTTCATATTTATAGATTTAAGAGTTGAAGCAATAAAATAGCTGGAAAAAATAGAAAAGCAAATAATTTTTTTCCCTTTTTTTTTTGGAATAAAAAAAAATTTGCCAATGACTGGCTTGCTTCATTTAAAATTGTAAATTGATAAAATAAAAATAATAACAAAACTCTGAAATCGCATAAGTTTAAAAGATAATTCGCTCTAGAGATGTTTTTTCTTTCATTTTTTTAAACACAATGATTTTTAAAGAACATAACATTTTATATTTACATAAAATATGAATATGATGATGATTTTATATTTACATAAAAAAATTTTTAAAAAAATGGGAGAAAAATAAAAATTTCTCACTCTTTCTCAAAAACGGGGCGAGATTTCAAAAAGTTAAGTGAGATTTTTAAAAATTAAAATAACACGAATAGACTTGGAAAAAATTATTTCTTTAATTATAAAACATTTTTAACATCTTCTAATTGAAATTTTTTGCTGCATCATCATCATGTGGAAAATGTCCTATATCTGTTTTTTTATCAGCTATTATATTTATTTGGCTGAAAAATATCCGTATTTGTTTCGTTTTGACCGTTTCTACCGACATTTGTTTCATTTTCATTTGTCCGTTACGGAGTAGAAGATGTCGCCTTAACAAGGTATTTGTCCATCTTACATTCATGCACAAAAAATGTAAACGTCTTACATGAAGAAACCTTACCTACGGTGAACACGTGGTTGCAGAGAAATGTGCTCTGAATGGGGTTCCATGGTTCGGTGGGGGGGGGTGTTCTGCTGTTCGCGCCGGTTCTGAACAATACTGGTAAATAGGGAAGCTAGATAACAAGGACCAATGTTCAAAATAATGAAAGATCAAGGAAGAAAAGTGAAACGGATTTTATTCAAAATGGCAAAAGACGAAATTTTTTCCAAAATTCGCGCATTTTGAAATTGATTAATAGAGTGCGCGAACTTCCAGCGTTAATAATTTTTTATTGCGAGAAAAGAAAAAATACGCTAGATTCTCACGCTGTAGTGAAAACGCTGGTTAAGATTCAAAAATAAATAATCGATAATAATTTACAAGATAAAGGTATATCCATTGCAATTTTGATTATTTCTAGTGTTTATAAATTTAATGCCCGTTTTGTGTTGTGTAAGTATTTCAAACATTGATTTTCAATTTAACGAACTTTTTTTCGGGATTTAGCGACTTTGTTAAATAGTACCAATTGTATATACATATATTTCGTTTCTATAGTTAGACTAAAAATTACAACCAAAAATAATCTTTCATTTCTTTTTAAAATCAAGTAATTTTTGTATGTTTACAGGTCCTAACTTGGTCCGCATTAAAATTTAGTCTACTTCTAAATCATTAAATAATACAGTTATAACAATAAATTAAAAAGTTATAAATAAAGAGAAATTAAATAACACAAATGGAACAAATAAATAACAAATCAATTTAAAAAATCTATACAACATTTAATTTCATACCGATAATCAGAGACAACACTGCCTTTCATACACATGTCAAGTCCAGGTTCAGTTAAGTTCAGGGCATATATTTCTAAAGCAGCAGTAGTGCTATAAAAACAATGAATATTAATATATAGGTAGAACGTAACATTCACAATATATTCTTAAATTAATTCCATAGAATATATAACTTAACTATAACTAACTTTAGGGGGGGAAACAAGTTTTCTAATAACAAAATAACATTAAAAAACTTTTTGAATTATACATACTAATAACAATTGAATTGGAATATCAAAATAATTTGACAAAATTCAATAGCTGTTAAACCAGACAACAACCCAAACCAATTTGTTTACATTTTAGGAAATTTATACTTGAGTAAATATAAATTTCAGAATAAAATTTTTTTAAATATAGTTCTTAAAAAAAATTGCGTAACTAGTATCATAATTTTATAAGTGGTTTCTAAACCAATGTCAATACATTTTGATAACACTGAAATTAGGGCATTTCAATTAACTCCAGGTAATTCAAATTAATTCCATTAAATATTTGAATATGGTATATTCAAATATTTCCTCAGCTTATACATATATTTTTATAACACCAGATAGCTGATCACTTGATTGAGCTTTCAAATTATCAAAAGATCTATTAAAAGATTTAAATCTCAAAACACTTTTTTTATTTATTTTGTCTTTTTTTTTGAAATAAGGGAAATTTTTAACTGAAAAAGGATCAAAGTATATCAAATTTAAGATTTATTTAAAAATGAAATAAAGATATAAATTATTTATATAGAGTAAAACAATAAAATATATGTTTCTGCAAAAAAATATAAAAGCTCAATATCATGGAAGATGACAAATTATGTAAGCCTATACTTTTTAAATTAATATTATAAATATTAGGTTTATATAATTTGGTGTACTTTATTTTTTTAAGGCACAGATGTTGTACCTAATCTATATTACAATTATGAAAATAAAATCAAACAGTTAGGAAAATAAATCAAAAATGCTAACCCTGACTATTTCTTTTAAAATTAATTTCACCCACATTTATCGTAAACAAACTATAAAATTAAAATTTCTAAAAATTTTTATAAAAAAAATTACTTAAAAGTAGCATCTAATTGCTGAGCAGCAGTTCCAGCAGCTAAGTAAATTGGATGATGAGCAGCTGGAGACCATGCTATATTAGCTGTTCTGTCAATTTCTTTAACCTTCATTGTAGAAAATCTAAAAACAAAAATAATTCAAAACAAAACTTATTTGAATTACAATACAATGCAGAACTTAATAAGGAGATAATTCAAATGATATTTTGGGGGAGATTTTCCCATCATGTTCTGTGGCAGAATAATCCCCAAGTCATGCCAACTTCTAAGCTGTGGCTCACGAGAAACTAAAAATAACGTTGCAGAAAGGGCCACCCTTGGGTAAACACCTACATAGTTTTTCAAAAAAAAATTACAAGTTTAAAATCTATTTGACACTTTGGTGATTGTAGTTGGTACGACAGATCACAATACGGAAACACCCCCAATATTTCGGTACCTATTTGCGTTATCTACAATCACCAATGCGGAAAAGGCATTCTATTTAATAAGGGCAGAGTCTATTTAAAAAAATATGTAGAAGTTGTCCAATAGTGGTTACGAGTGGTTTTAACAACTTTCTTTTAAGTTTCAACTTCAACAACATTTTTCTTTTTAAAATAAAAACTCAAAGAAAAGGGAATTTCGACCCGTTTTTAATTTTAAGTTTCTGAGTTTATTTCTTAACTACATGTTGAAGTTACTGTAGTTAATTTGAGTAGGTTTAAATGCCACCAGGAGTTATTTTGAGGAAAGTTAAATTAGGGTGACCTGGGATAATTATTGATCAAAAAATGCAAACATCTATTTTGTGAAAAAACTATTCAAGATAGAATTTTAATATTTACTGGAAGTTTGAAGCTATATGAGATGAGTCCTATTCTACCTTCTTTTGTTTGAAAATCTAATTAGAATTTAAAAGATCTTAAATTTTTAGTGATCAGGAATTACCCCTTCTCTTGATCATTTCCGGGGTAATTCTTGATCATTTCTGGGGTAATTACTGATCACCAGTTTTTATAGTAAATGGGCTGTTTAAAAATAATTATACAATGGTAATTAACAAATAAGACATTAAGATCAAACAAATAAACCAAAAAGATATGTTTAAGCTGCTAATAAAACGTTTTATTTAAAAGCAGGAATAAAGATTAACTCTTCAGCTCTGGCAGCAGCTCTCACACTGAAATTTTCATTTTCAATCATTAAAAGAAATTCACTATTTTTGCTTTCTAGAAGCTTAGTATCCTTTTTAGGCTTATAATTTCTCACCATATTTATATTAGGTTAATTTATCAACTTAAAAATTATTCTAACAATGTACACACATAAAATTAAGATAGAAGCAAGGTAAGACAAGCTAGAAATGGTGCATATCAGAGCACATTTGTCTTGTATACAGTTAAAAACAAATTTTGTGATTATAGTTAAAATATATTTTATAGTTGTTCCACTTAATAAATATGAACTGTTATTTAAGAAAAGAAAATTAACTATTTATTAGCTATTTTTTAAACTATTTATAAGAATAAATGACAATGATCAGGAATTACCCCAGTGATCAATAATTACCCCATCTGTTGGGGGCAACATTTGATATAGTTTCCTATAATCAATTATAATGTTTACAGTAGATGTGAAACAATTAAACAAAAGCTTACAAAATTTTTATATCAAAGAAAAAGAAAGTAACTCAAAATATTTATTATTAAGAGAACGAGGGGGATCTTTGCAGAAATGTGCACATTTTGAAACCCATCTTTGAAATGGAAAATACAGAGAGCAGTTTAAAAGATACTTATTTTGTTAGATTAAACAAAAAACTATTATTAACTAAATGTAGTTATACTTTAGTAAAGTGTACAAGCATTCTTGTCCATGTCTCAAATTTTAAAAAAAAATAATTTTTTTAAAATAAAACTTAGGTGATCATTATTTACCCAAGAAACAGAGTGATCATGAATTACCCAGGGTCACCCTACTAGAATTTTTTTTATTTTCTTTACAGAGCTATATGATTTTAAAACGTGCAAATAAGACATTCTTAAATGATGGAATTGCCCTAAAAAGGAAAATAATTAATAATTCGTTAAATCCCAAAACAAGGTATTACCCAACAGTGTTTATAAATAAAATATCTGCAACACACAGCAAATTTTAATCAATTTTGAATGAGATTGCAGAACATTTATGATGGTGTTAAGTTGATATACGGAAATATAACACATATGATACATTAGATGACTTAATTAAACATATAGGTGTCATATGCCGTTCAAGTACCTAATATATCATTAGAATAGTACAATAAGAAAAAAATAATAATTAAACAACTCAAATGAATTTATTATGTCGAAATAATTGTGTATAATTACTGAACAATGACATAAAAGATGAACAATTCTAGGAAAAAGATAAAGATTGCTGATGAGAATCTGACCGGCTTGTCACTAATGACGTGGCTTTGCCGTGTCACAAAACATAACAAATTGGCTTCAAAATGGAAATTATCAAACAGTAAAAAATAAACTGAAGTATTATTATTATTAGCTAAATAAAAAATGCTTTTCTTTTCATACAGAATATACCTACTAGCTTTCGCAGCCTTCCTAACGTGGCATTCAAATGTTCACGTATTATAAATAAACACCAAATCGAAATTTTATTATTTCTGCTTAAAAGTTTTGTTGCCATTCTGCAAAAGGCAAAATAGTATTTTGACTACAACCCATGGCAGCCAAGAGCAGGTTACGGTTTCATGGAGCATTCTCGTTGCATGCAATTGGCGATTAAAATGGGCTAAAGATAGCTCTTTCTAATGTTAAGGAGGAGACAGTGCATTTATTTCTGTCCTAATTTTCAAACCGATTAAAATTTTATAAGCTTGGAAAATATATGACACTCAAGACTGCATTAAACAATGTGCCTAATGTAGGCATCAAGGAAATTTTAAAATATATTTTGAATAATCAAAATTGCAAAAATATTATGAAAGGGGGAAATATCGTAATACATCCCCATACATCTTACATCGCCTTACATCTGATCTGAGCTGAGGAGATGGAAGCTCTAGACATGGAAATGGTCTTCTTCCCAATTGCGTATTTGAGTAGTGCGATCGCGAATTGTCCCAATTGCGTATTCGAGTATTGCGATTGCAAGTTTTTCAAAATGTTTTCATACAGCAGTGCTAAATACTGAATACATATTTTGTATACGTTTTTGTTCCTTTCAAATTTCCTTATTATTAAAATATGGATGTAGAACAATTTAACAATTGAAATTCGTTCATTTGGATTTCCCCCTTTGAGTAAAAAGAAGTAAATGTAGAGTAGCTGAAATAGTTGAAAAAATTTAATTTTTATCATATTTTTATATAAATTATGGTAAAAATGTCTTTGAGCAACTTAATGTAAATAATGTAGTTTAAAAACATATTTATTAGGGTAAAAATAGTCAAATCAATGTAGAAAAGTTTTTTTTCTTTCTGAATTTCATTTGAAAGGTTAAATTAGCATGTTTCATAAATGCTTGTACAGTACATACCTGCCGATAACTCGATTTATCGGGAGATTTCTTTGCTTAGGTAGAGTAGTTGTAAATTTTATGCCTTATAATTTTATTATTATTTTCATAAGTTTCACTCAGATTCATTAAGATTGATTTTGCCCATAAAAACAATAAATACAAGCAGCAGCAATAACATGCCTCTTAACCATGATCCGTCTACCACTGAGAATATTTCATGTCAGCACTGTGGTCGGAGCGAGTAGGTAGCTGAATTCGTAAGTCTGGGATTCGAATCTGAGACACATCATAGAGAAGCAAGCGCTCTATCCACAGAGCCACCGCTGCTCTAGTTGTATGAATTTAAATGAAGCCAATTAGAAGTATGGAACAGAGATTAGCACTAGCCACAAGTACCTTAGAGAGAACGCGTTCGTTGAACCAATGAGCGCTGGAACAAATACAACACTTACCTTCACTTTACAACAAGAAGAAATACAACAATACACTTCACTTTTTGTGTTTTTCTCAACCTCTTTACTTTGAGTTTAATTCTGAAGGATTTATTTTTTCAACATCTTCGGTATTTTCTCCTTTGGATCTGACCTTCCGTTAATTGTTTGTTCTTGATGCAGAGCAGTTTTTACGTTTATAGGGGTCTTGGGCCTGTTATTATCTGGGGGCCCTTTATGAGTAAATTTAGAGAAAAAAATTCTTTTTTTGAATAATTCTTAAATTTTTTTTATTTTAGGAATAAAAAACATATAAATTAATTATAAAAGCTTATATACATTATTTTTTATCGAAAATTTAAGGTAACTATATTTTTCGCGCTTTTTGAGAGGCGAATCTTCTATCGCATCATCAAAATCAATTTCCTGTAAGACATACATTTTGCTTTGCAGATCAAAATCTGTTAGACTTAGAAACATAAGATTATGAAGGTGTGTAGAAAATATGCAAGGAGTTATAAAAAATACAAGAAAATGCAGTTTGATTATTAGTTTTTTTTTATAATCGCCGTTGAAAGACTGACTCAATTTTGAGCCAATGTTTAACTACGTAGCCTTGACATATTAAAACCAATTCAGAAGACAAGGAAACTCCTGGATCAATACTCAGAGGTATAGAATTGTTAAGAGAACTCGCAGCTTATGACCCCGGCAGATTTAACATGCACCAGTCACCATTTTATACTTGGGCCGGCTCAATTCGAACTCCCATTCTCACGAACAGGAGTCCATAGCCCTACCATCAACCAAGCTATCATGGCCAAATTACTAGTTTATTTTATAACAGTCATTGAGCAGGCCACCAGATTTCGAGTTTACTACTACTAATGAACTCCGTAGCCTTGTAATTTTGAACCCAATCCAGCAGACAAGAGAACTCCTGGATCAAGTAGTGGAAGAAATTTTTGCCTTCGTGGAGGACATTTTGATGGAATTACCCCGCATTTGAGTTACACGGAGAGGAAAACCGCGAAATCCTCCCACGGTTAGTCTGATACCAAGGGAACTCTAATTCATGATCCGCCTACCACTGAGAATATTTTACGTCAGCACTGTGGTCGGTAAAAGCCGGATGTGGAATTCATATCGATCAGCCATCACTGGGATTCGAACTCGGTGCACCTCATTCAGAGGAGAATGCTCTATCCCATGAGTCCACCTTTATTGAGTAATAACTCTGCGGCAAGTACCAATTTTCCAATTTTGTTGATTGGTACCCATCCTTAAAAACGGCTCTGCTTTGATGTCAATCTGACTGCTTTTAATGGCTATTCCAAGTACGATTTTGGTTCATTTCTTTTTAACTTGATTAATTCACCCTTTCAGTCTTTTGCTGCTGTCCCTTCGCAAACGACAATCTGTCGAGCAGGGATGTCAGCGAACTCAAAAGCTATTGTTATTTTCTTCGGCGTAACAACCGAATTCCTTACTTTTCTCTGTTAATCTTATCGACAACTGTCCCTCGAAAGAAAGTTGCGGATCTGACCCATTCCTTCGAATTACACTAATCGAACTCGAAGTCAGTGCGTTCCTGGAGGGTATGCAGCGAATGCCCCGCACGCAGGTGCCCAATTTAAGGGGCGCCAAATTCAACTATTCGAAAAAAATCAAATTATAGCAAACTATTAAAAATCAAATTATAGCAAAGCTGTAAACTTTGATTACAGGAAGAAACAGTAAACTAATATAAGAAGTAACTTCTACATCTTGCTTCTCCACTGGAATTTATGACTTATATTGTACGTTAATAGTCTATTTTATTTGATGTCGAAAATAAATTTTTTGTCATATTTTTTCGTTGTTTTATTTTACTACGCCCATTTTCATAGTCAAACACTTACACTAAAGTGACTTTAGTCTTTAAGGAAACTATTCAGTTTAAACCTCAAATTAAANAAATGAAGCTCCTTGTTTAAATATAGTTGAGTTTTAAGATACAGTATTATGCTACCAAACTGAGATGGGCACAGTAGGCCTTGACCCTCAATGGGCTGTCGCTCCACTGAGTTAAGTTTATTATGCTACTAGCTAAGATATTTAACATGTTGAGTGCTGGTCACAAGAAGAGGAATTAATAGTTATTGTCCACAGTAGAAATGGTTGAATGAAGGGGAGAATTTCTTTCCTGTGATTGTGTGACTGGCAATTGTAACATCACTCTGTATACAAAATTGTTTATTTAGCGTTGGCACTAATTCCTATCTGATGCAGGATCGGGAACAAAAATGTTAAGGGTAAATTGATGTACTGGCAAAATATTATTGTATTTATTGATTTCAATCCTAATGTAGTATATTTTGAGTTACCTATTTGTAAGTAATTAACTGGTTTTTAACTATATTTCTTAAAAATATTCCTTGAAATATTGAATAGAATTAAATATTTCAAATACACAAATTTTGTTTGGGGAGAGCCCAGGGTCAAGTGCTCTAAATTATAAAATATGTAGTTCTTGTATTTTTTTGTGGCAATGTATTTTTCTTTTGGAATTATTTTCAGGTTAAACAAGTATTTTTGTTTGTATGTATTATATGTGTGTATATATATATATATATATATATAATTAAATAAAAGGGAGATTAACAAAGAAAACAAGGAAAAAATATTATTTTGAAGAAAAGAAAAAGAAATTAGTAATAAATAAAATGTAATTAATGAATAAAATGAAAATTTGAAGAACAAAATAATCTCGTCGTCCGATTATATCCTCAAAAAAGTGCTTTCTAATAATATATTAAGAAAACCAAAGCAAAACATGTCAATACAATTATTAGAGGATCACTAAAAAAATTGACATGAAAATAAAGCAATTAAGTAAAATATACAAAATGAAAACAAAAATGCAAGAAAAATGCAGAATGAAATACAAAATGTAGGTACATATTAAGCGGGAAGCGAATTTCAACATCCTTTTACTTACTGACTTATTACACAAATGATTTAAAAATAATTTCGCAACTAGTTTGCCAAAATTTGAAAATGAAGGCGCAAATAGAGAAGATAGTGAGATGTATTTAATGGCTCGTTCTTACTGAAGTACAGAATCAACCACATTTGATTTGTCAGTTACCTTGGATTGGCCCGAAACTGGATTTGCGCAAGGCAATTATACTATCCTGGATAATTCAAAGTTCATAAATAACAAAAGGTAAAATTTTAATTATGATATATTAGTCTTGATTATTCTTAGAGAAATTATTAATATTTATTGAAAAATTCTGTATTAAATATTTGAAGACTTTTAGCTAATCGCCTAAATTGGATTTGCACATTGTAAAAATATCTATTCAGATAAAAAAAAATTCTTTGTGTAAGTTAATTCAATAATAGTTTTAACACACAATTAACTCATTTTTCTTTTTTTATAGATTCTAA